CAGCTGATCGGCTGGGTTCTCCTTTGGTTGCCCTGCCCAGGAGAACGGAGCTGGAAAGCAGGTTAGTGGCGGAGGGGAGGGAAGGGGGATTTTGCAGTATGTCCTTCCCAAGACGTTTCATGACTCAACTGGGTAACCTCATCAGTGCTAGAGAGAGTGGGGTTTGCTCCCTGTTCCACTCCCTTCTAGCACTGATAGTGTTACCTAACTGGGTCATGAAACGTCTGCAAGGAACACCACAAGCTCCGAGAGCACCAAGGACCCCACAGCTGAACCCTGAGCTACAAAGTCTCTCTTTTATCGGTGCTCCTAATTCTGTTGGCCACCCAGTTTGGCGTTCTCCAGTTGCGTTGGGAACACCGTTCCCAAATGCCTAACTGGGAGCAGTGGACGATTTCGGGAGTTCCTGTCTCCATGCATCTCAAAGACGTTGAGGAAGATGATAGAGCTTTCTTGAAGAACATCATCTGCTAGAAGTTCTTTGTATTCATGAAATTGTCCCCAAGGATGGAGAGCTTTATGGCATGTGTTCTGGGGGGTTTTTTTTGGAAAGGAGGGGGGTTGTTATTGAATAAATTGGACGCTTTTGAAAATTCTTGGTTTGGGGGGGGGGTCTGTATTTACGACCGCACACCGAGACACAATCCTGAAAACATGTAGACAGCTCCAGTCTCGACACATGTAGCAATGCGTGTTCCAGTGTGTCTTTGATCGCTTAACTTTCCTTCCGCAAAGATTTCCCCCTTCAATTTCCTTCTGTTTTCTAGTTTGACGAGCCTCAATCCAGCAGACCGTCTCTCCAGGAAGCTGGCCTTGGTTAACAGAAACCCTTGTTAACCTCTCACGATGCTAATGACCTCCAGGGTATTTTTGGAAGACACACAAGAACACTGGAACAGCCTTACGTCTGCAGAGGTGGCATTCAAGCGCCTGAGTCTATGTTTATTTATATTCTTTTCTGGAGACAACAACCAGCACATGCAGCTATTTTCCAAGGACCATGTGATCAACCAGGAATAAGAGGAATGGGTGAGACACCCTTCAGTCAGCCAGGACAGCGTGACCGGAAGGAAAAAACAGAACGCCCCAGCGTTCCCTGGGGCGTTCTGCCCTTCCCTATCGTATATTTTACACAAGCTCGCATAAGTTACGTTGGAAAAGGTGAGCTACAGTAGAGTTCAAGCTGTCTGGGTCAATCATTCTACGTTCACACTTCTATCTTGGGATCCGTAGTTCCGGTCTATGCAGGCCTAGGCTTGGCAACCAGATGTCCTCCAGATGTCAGCTCCCTTCCTTATGAATCTCATTCCAGCAGGTCTTCTTTTCAGAAAGCCCAAACCAATGAAGGAAGCCATCTGAGCATCTCAGCACGGACGGTCCAAAATATCTGGGGGATCATCCAGTTCCCTCCCCCTCCAAAATGGAGTTAAGAGAACGTGATGCCTTGATTGAAACTACAGAGTTGATAATCTGTCTGTCTGCCTCTCTATCATATCCACCTCAAAGCAATGGCTCAAGGCAGGCAGCAAGCATTCATAAAAACAATGAGAACATGATACACAAAGAAATTAAATGCAAACAGCAGCCAAGAAATATTACAATCTATTGGTATCAGCTTCCCCAGGTAATAGGAACATTCATGTGTTCGGGACTCCAGGCCTGGGCACGTAAACAGATCTTCAAAAACCTTCCAAAAGACCAACAGAGTTGTGCCATCCTAATCTCAGGAGGAAGGATGTTCCAGAATGCAGACTATGGCAGAAGAGGCAAACTCTCTAGTGCCCACCAGCCACCATTCCAGGAGCAGAACATGCCCATCCTTACTGGACCAGATTGGATAGGTAGAAATGACTGGAAGCAGACAGTGCCTCAGGTAAACCCCGCACCAAGCCGATGTCTTATGTTCTCTTGCCGCTACAGCAAGGGTCTTCCAACTTGGCAAGTTTAAGACTTCTGGACTTCAACTCCCAGAATCCCTGAGCTAGCATGACTGGAGGAGGAATTCTGGGAGTTGAAGTCCACAAGACTTAAAGCTGCCAACCTTTTGGACCTCAGGGACCACCAAACTCATAATTTTAGATCCCAGGGACCACTAACTGGTTCTGTGGGCATAGCCTAATTTGTGGGTGTGGCTTGGTGGTCATGTGACTAGCTGGGCATGGCTTGTATGTAAATGTTATAAATATTTATATAAATATTGAATTTATTATAAAAAAAGAGCAACTTTTATCCCAAATCAGGCAAAGCAGGCAGGCAGATTGAGTTGCTCACAGAATCACAGATTCATTCAGAGATCTATCTATCTGCCATTGGCTAGCTCAGTCTGTCACATAAAATTTGCTTCCAAGCAAACTCACAAAATTAACTCAACATACCATGCATGTAAATGTTGATTTTTTTTTTAATAAAAAAAGCAACTTTTATCCAAAATCAGGCAAAGCAGGCAGATTGAGTTGCTCGCAGAATCATTCAGTGATCTATCTATCTGCCATCAGCTAGCTCAGTCTCTCAAATTTGCTTGCCGTGAGTCTGCACTGAATTTGCCTGCAAACAAACCTTCAGTCCTAAGGGAGGTTCGGCTGTGCTTAACTAGAAAGCTAGAAAATCCAACCATTTCCTGCTTCCTAGCTAATCTAAATCTCCCGGCACAGCAGAACAGATGATGGTCGGAAAAATAGCAACTTAGCAGAGAAGTTCGCCAGGTAAGGAGTCAGTGGGCGGAGAGGGTTCCCGCGGGCCATTTGGGCTGAGCAGCCTTGTGTTTCTGCGCAGACTGGATTAATTGCTTTGGGGGGGTGGGGTGCTCTGGGGTGAGATTTCTCTGCGGCCCACCAAAATTTTCTCACGGCCCACCAGTGGGTGACCGCTGCTCTACCGTGATGCCATTTCATGGGTGCTATGGGTATCTACCTGATGCGTCTATGGAGATTCTCAATCATCCAGGTCATAGTTGTCCCAAAGGCGCTTTTTCTCAAGAAGCAACTGGACTTTCTGTTTGTTTGTTTTTTCTTTGAAGATGTTTCACTTCTCCTCCAGGGAACTTCTTCAGTTCTTGGATGAGAACCGATTCAGTTCATGAACTGGAGAAGCTTCGTGGGTGAGAAGCAAAACGACTTCAAAGAAAAAAAAACCCAGAAAGTCCAGTTGTCTCTTGAGACAAAAAAGCCCCTTTGAGATCTTCCTGATACTTTCTTCTCTTGAGTTCTTGGACTTGAAACACCCCCCTCTTCCCAAAGAATAGTTACAGGGGAGGGATAAATTTTATTGGTCTCCCCCAACTCCTTCTCTGGAAAGTGAGCTGAAGTCACCATTCTTGATGGACCTGGGGACATCAATTAGGGAAAGTCCTCTACGGACGAATATTTGTAGCCTCAGTCCGTTGTTTGTGGGGGGGGGGATGTTTTTAAGAAGCTTCAAACAAACGGCCACCGGTTGCTTTCGATAGGAACATGGCTCTTCTCTGGGAAAGAAGCTAGTCTGAGGAACCCATCCGTACTTACTCAAAGTATGACTGCCTAATCCGCCAAAGGCATTGCTGCTTAAATTTCCAAGGCCGCTGAAGGTGCTTGACCTTGTAAACGGATCTGGAAAGGCAAACAGGGTTTTAGCCGGCATTTAGCCAAGAATGCAAGGGAAAACTAAATGTACCCCCCTTTTTTTTTGTTCCTACCCGCCCCCTTGTTGATTTGTTTTATTTCATGGTTTGAATCCCAAGTGGGATTAAGGCCAGGCTTTCAGCTAATCCTTCTCCCTGGCGGGGCCCTCTGCATAGAACATTCTTGACGGGTTAAAAACGGAGAGTGGGTCGGAGAACTTGCTAACATGGAAACAGGTGCTGGAGGTTCAGCGTGCCAGGGAGAAACCAAATGTTTGAGGCTGAAGAGCCAGGAGGACTAAGGTGGCCACCGAGATGCAATCCGAGAAGGTCAGATTTGCGAGAGCAAAGTTAAGAAGGTGGAAACTAGTTTCTGGTGGGACGTGTTATGGGGCAGGGGTCTCCAACTTTGGCAACTTTAGGACTTGTGGACTTCAACTCCCAGAGTTCCTCAGCC